TTGGTCAGTGTTTTTCGTCAATAATTCGTTAACGATGCCTCGGAGAAAATTTTTGTAAAGGAAAAAGTTGCTTCGAATGACTTCAGGAATCCCTAATTTCCCGGAACTACCATAATTTTGGGACTCCCTGTATAATCTACAATAATATTAATTTCGAACGCAAGACCCCTGTATACATCTTAAGTTGCCAATTTTTATTTGCTTACATACTTCGATCTTATCCTAACAAAGCCGTTTTAACGTTATCGATACGATCATTTAATAGTTCTAATTCAATCGAACGCGACTTAACCCTTAAATGCATAGAGTCCCAAAAATGAATCAATAACTTTTTGCGCGGATACCCGACAACAGTTTTGATATCGATACATTTGGCTGAATGGCAGTGATTCCTTTGTCCATTGACTTATCAAAAATTAACTAAAATAATGACATTTGACTTCAATATTTGTATCTTTCTGACGTTATACCAATTGGCGCGCATTTTTGATAGCGGGTTCATTTACGTACTTTTGGAAGTGGATTATTTAGAAATATTTTGGTGTATTCGTTAAACAAACAATATTTTCTAAAGGTAAGGCTCTTATTTATTAATTTGCTAGTACTTTTGTCTATATTCCGTAACTATCATGTGTATGGAGGGCTTATTTCGTGTTGATGTAAAAATGGGACAACATGCACTAATGGTAATAATTACGACATGTGTTTAGTACTATGCTTCCTTTATTGGTTTGTTGGTTTTGTTTTGGTGTGGTATGCATGTGGTTTATAATTTTGTTATAGATATGTCTGGAAATAATCGGAGAGACGACAACATTGAATTTTGGTTCCAAGAAAGGAAACGACTGCTTCAATCTCTTTCATACTAACTAAAGAATTTTTATGTCTATTTTGCATAGTGTACCAAAAATGAATCATTAATATTTTTCAATAAAAACCCTATAAGATATGACTTATAATTTTTTTTAATATTTTTCCCGATTTCCACTCATTCGAAAAATTATAACCCTATTTTTTAAATAAAATTCATTAATTCATGCATTTAAGGGTTAAAGCCAGGGAATGCGGTCATTTCGAAAGTGGAGCTCATACTATGACCGCATCTCTACTCAACCGGAATCCGAGTCTGAAAAAACCGTCTCGTGTCTCTATTAAATTGAATTCCATGCGGAGTGTCGTCGCGGAACGTTCCATTTCCCTCCGGCAAGGTGAAGAACAGGAAACGAGATTTCACTGAAGCCGTCGCGGACGTGTTAATTAGTGCGTTTGTCCCGGTCACTTTCGCAGTGGCCGGTGCTCCCAGCTTGGGAAGTTCCGACGGGACGGGAAAGATCGTCGAGATAGCGATAAAGTGAAAACGCATCTTTCGCAATTATCCTCCCGTAATACTTTTCTTTTCTTTTTTATTTCTTTCTCTCCGTTCGCATTTGCATAAGGTAACAAGGACAATTCGACTGGAAGTCGGTCATCCGCGACGGAGCCGGTCGCCGTATGCAAATCACCATGGAAACGATGGTCAAACAGATTTATTCGTATAATCGGGAAGTACCGGAATGTCACGTGACAGCCTCTACCTAATTCCCGTCGGACAACACCGGTTCGGTCAATGCCAAAATTCGGAAAACGATTCGGTCGGAATTCCGGACGTCCATTAATATCGAGATGCTCTCTCGATATTATAATAACTGATTTAATATTGGACCGAACGACACGAGTTACTTACATGAAATTAACACTTCCACGACCGCGCTAGGAACCTCAAAAGTTTTCATAAAATTAAAATATTTCATTCGTTTAAACAAAAATTACCAAGCAAACTTATATGGCATCAATTGCTTCTTCAGCATTCGTGCCTCTTGCAAATCTTAATAAAATTAAGCAATTATTTTTAATTTTTCATTAATCATCCATTCGGCTATTAATCGGCTGAATTTGAAACGGGGAGATCTCCCTATTCGGTTGGCTAAGTGTTAAAACAATTAATTTACCAGTTAGCGAAAGAAGTATCAAAGAAATTTGCCAATGTCCGGAATTGTACGGAAATGATCGTAAACTGCTCCTCGCGACTCTTTTGTTCGTGCTCGTACAATTTTAAAGATTCATTTGTTTGCAGTATTTATGATTACAATATTACAGACGTCACTGTACATCGTCGTAGCACATGATTTCGAGTACAAAATCATAAGATACTTCGTAGACGAATGTTATTGAGTACGATTTTTTTGTTGTGTAACAACGAAGATAAGTAACAGAACGCGTTTACATACAAAAATTCTCGTCGTCGATTCGACGCGACATACAAACATTCGACGAATTTCGTCGGAACGATATTTCACATTTTCGAACGGCTCTGCACACGTCGTTCGACGAGGTAAGGACAGATGTCAGATGCCTGACAATGCCAAAGATTAACAATGCACGCAACCGTTGTCTGATAAGCCGTGAGTTCCGATAAGCAACCTTTATTTAAAACAAAAAAATGTCAAAGTCGTGCAATCATAACACGTGTTTATCCGGTTTACAGAATTAATTGTACGACAAGATAAAGGTATCGATCCGTGTGAACGATTCAGATTTATCATGAATTGTTTCCGTGCGATAGCAAGTTAATTGCTCGACGCGAATCGCAAAGAATCTATTGATAAATCGGTTATCCGAAAGGAGACTCGAATAATCGTCCAATCTGCGCAAACACGAGAACATGATCAACGTATATATGATCAACCTATCTCTCTATTTGATACAATAACTATCGTTGAAAATTCCTCGAAGGATTAGTTATCTCGCTAAAAGAGTATCAATGCATCATCAGCAATTTATTGAAACAAATAACTTGGTTCAAGCAACTACGATCGGTGCAGAAAATTTCTATTTTGTTTAGAGAACCGTATAATCGTTATGTTATATACTTGCACAGATGATATAATAATAATAATCATTTAGAATCGTGCCGAAGAAATAATTTCTCGGTTATGCGAATGCGATCCGCTACGAGAAAGATGCTTGCCGCAAACTTGACCTTCCTGTCAGAAGATTTCACGATCCTCAGTAAAGTCAATTTGTCAATCGCGACGATCCATCATCGCCCTGTTACGCCGCCGGTTCACATAAACGGCCAGGAAACCGGTGATTTATCATACCCGATTTACCAATCTGGTTGAATCACGGTCAACAGCAAAAACCAGCGGCGAAGGGGATGCCCATGGAATCGGGGATCGAGCTGAAATCGAAGAAAAATGATCGAACGTGTCACGATCACGCGGCTTTTCTCTCGTGAAAGTCTCTTTCTCTTTTTCGTCGATTTTGAATGCTTTCGAAAGCTCCGAGAACCAAAGAATATAGCTATATCTTCGAAACGTCTGTGCTATCACTTACGAAAATCAGGAGATAACTCTCGATTCTGCCTCTTTTTCTCTCAAGTCTGTTTCAATTATTCTTGTAAAAATAAACTGTTCAGATACTAGTTTTGACTAATTCGCAGTTAATCTATTGCCGGTGAGTTGCTATATTTAGCGACGAGCGTAGTTAGTACAAATGTATTTAATTTACGATTCGCGACTTCTTCATTTGTTTTGCAAATTCGTTCTGAAAGCTCACTTTACGTTCGGTGTCTCGACTAATTAAGGATGTAAAAGCATTGGTGATACAATAATGCTTATTAGTAGATTGCGAGTCTTTATGGAAAATAGACGTTGTCTCCACTGATTGTAAGAAACGGGTGCTAGACATTTTCTTTCCTTCTTTAATTCATTTTAACGAGCTGAAAATAGTACACCGATCACTGCTTTAAATAAAAATCCGCGGTCTAATTATTAGAGGTAGCCTCGTTGTTGCTTACACCGTTGATAAGCAGTCTGGACTCAATTAGGTATTACTAGAACTATTCCTTGCGTAATCTACGAATGAAAAAATCTTGCGACACGTTCGCCTAATCGCTTCGTTCCGTAACAATAGAACGTGCCAATTGCGCGCACCGTTTTCGTAAAAATAACAAGACCGTATTCGTTTAGATTTCGAAGAAATTTTCACCCCTTCACGATTTCGGCTACATATTCACAGTTTCGCAGAAAGTTCTCTCTTTCGAGAGAAGCTGCATCCATCTTTATAAAAGATTAAAGATAAAAAGATAAAAGATAAAAGATTAAAATAAATTAAAGCTCGAGAATCCATCTTTAATTTATCTCGTCGGAAGACTGGAAGATAGCGTGCACGGAAAAGCGGTGTTGCGACATCGAAGATACACCAGCGAACACTTTCATTATTTTTCAATGTCTTCCGATTGAAAAATAATTAACAGGGAACAATCGTATCCGTCGTCCGATTGCGGCACACCGATTGCCACACGCATCGAAAAATTGAGAAATCTCGATAATAGAATTCAATCGGCAACGGAGTTCTCGTTGAAATCTTAAATATCGCCACGATTATTACTAATCGTCGGTTATTAATGGACCGATTTCATTTTATCGCGTCGCAGACATCCCTCGGCCGCCAAAACTATCTTAAAACAAGAGAATCGTGCCACGATAATAAAAGTACGAAGAAGATTTTTAGAAACGTTAACGTTTATCGTGAACAGTTGGATTTTGTTTCTAGCCCAGCGTGTTTTGTGCTCTTTTTATTCCTACCGTTAATTTCTTATCTTTTCGGACGTTCACCGAAGGGATTCTTCTTCTCGCAAACAAACAAATAAATAAATAAATAAATAACAATTTAATGAAAACGATGAAAATTGAAATTAGTCTACTTTCACTTTGCTCCTCTTCCGATCAGAATGCTGCACCCAGGAATTCTCGAGCTCTATCCCGAAATCTTTTTAAACGAGGAACAATAGCGGACTCTGCTCGAGCAATCAATCGCGATTTATATGTTGTTTATTTATGTAAGAAATTGTAGAAAAGTACAGTGAAAGAACAGACTAACACGTGACCCAGCGTAACCTTAATATGTATAATGTATCTAATCGTTCGCTCCCTACTAACAGATAAGACGTTGTCCAGAATGACAGAACGTTTAGTCTTCGGGTACCACTGATTCGGGTGACAATGTCAGGTTCCTCGGTGTTGCTACTCGTGGCGATTTGCTTCGCGTCCGGGGCCCACGGTAAGCACAACTTTTACGTCTAAAGAACCTTTCGGAAATTGGCCAACGCGGTTTCTTGCGTAAACGGGTCGAATTTTATGGTAGACGCAATTAAATAATAACAGGTGAGAAATGCGCAGCGGTCGTTGGAAGGGAAACTAAATAATAGATTCGTGGTCGGGTGTCAAAATGTCGGAGTACCAATGTCGATCGCGAAACGAGAACGAGAGGTGGGATTTAATTGAAGGGTACTCGTAAAGTGCTCGATTATAATACAATTAATTATAATATAATTATGATATAATAATATAATTATTATATAATTATAATATGTTATATATCATTTTATATAATATTATATAATTATACACATAAAATAATATATATAATTATAATATTATAATATGTATATATTATTAAAATATATTATAATATATATATTATTATAATATACTATAGTGTAATATAATTTCGCAATGTTTAACAACCAAATTATTATATTTAATTGAAGACACTGCAAGTGCCAAGGTTACAAATTTGCTGCACCAATGGTAATTCCGCAGTTTAGAATGTTAGAGCAATTTCGTTTCGTAAGCAATCTTCTATAGCTACAATACAATTTCTCCGTGAATTGATGTCAATATAAAAAATTGTGCGATGTATTTGAGACAAGGTATACACAAGCATGTTTTGCAATCAGTACCACATCGAATTATGAATCTATCAACCTCTCTCTTGATAGTATTTACCTAAATGAAAGTTCAATCACGAAGACACCGGGCCGACCCATTTCGAAACCGTAGAAATTCCGCAAACAAAACACGCATGGGTAATCTACGCGTTATCTGTCGACGTGCACGCTGTAGAATTTCTCGATTCCCAGTTACCTTGTATTATCTTTTAAACTCGACAAATACGCCTTAGCAGTCCGAACTGAAACGTTTGTTGTTTCAGCTACCTGTCTTTACCGTGCGAAACTGCTGTTTCGACGTCGAACAGAACCTCCTCGAATCACTTTCTTAGCAATAAAAGACGACGCCTTTATAAATACCGGAAATTAATTCCACAATTATATATTGTATATATTGTACATGTGTATTATTATGCAATATATATTGTACAATTGTATTATTATGCAATATATATTGTACAATTGTATTATTATACAATATACAGGTTGTCCCAAAAATGTCTCGCAATCCGAATGTGGCGGATCCTTCAGGTCATTTGAAGCAACTTTTTCCTTTAAAAAATGTTCTCCGAGGCACCATTAACGAGATATTAACGAAAAACAGTGACCAATGAGAAGCGAGCTCAGCTGGCGCGAGGCGACCGAGCCAACGGCGCCAGCGGTCGAGGCGGTCGAATCCCAGCTCAACTGGCGCGAGGCGGCCGAGCCAATGAGCGGAACTGGGCTTCGCGCGCTGGTAGGCTGGGCCGCCTCGCGTCAGCCGTACTCGATTCTTATTGGTCACTGTTTTTCGTTAATAACTCGTTAACGGTGCCTCGTAGAAAATTTTTGTAAAGGAAGAAGTTACTTCAAATGATCCGAGGAACCCGCCATTTCCGGATTGCGAGACATTTTTGAGACACCCTGTATATTGTACAATTGTATTATACAATATATATTGTATATATGGTATATAATTGTATATATATATATATATATATATACTGCTCCGTAGTAATCAGAATTACTTATAATCATAATTCCTATGAAATTGTCAACATCTCGACCCTTTGAATCCATCACCGATTGCAAACGAGTTCCTTTCGTTTTCGTGTACAGTGTCTCGCTACCTCCGTGCTCCCGATCTCCCTCGCTGTTAATTAGCTCGACCCCCTTCCCCCATCATATTCATTCGGACATCGAGCACGTCTGTCCCCTCGTTTTCTCCGCGGACGATCCTGCACGCGGCAAGATAGACGTGTTTCGATGTTTGCACTTTCTTTGCAATCTTCGCATACTGCGTTTCGAAGAGCTAGTTGCTACTCAACCGTCACTTTTACTTAAACAGCGAAAATAGGATTCGGTCCTGGCGAGCAAGAATGGGGCTACGTGAAAGTAAGGTCGGACGCAAACATGTTCTGGTGGCTTTACTATACGACGGCGAACGTTTCCTCGTATTACGATAAGCCGCTGATCATCTGGCTGCAAGGCGGGCCGGGTGCATCGTCCACTTCCTACGGGAACTTCGAGGAACTCGGACCTCTTGATCTGAGCTTGAACCAGAGGAATTACACCTGGGTACGGTAACGACCTGATTACAACAACTTCTCCCCAATTAGCGCTCAGATCGCGCAGAAAAATGGACAATTCGGGAAGAAAAGATGCGATCACTCGAGCCTTGCGTCTCGTTTTTATAGTTACCGATTGTCAACAACTATTAGGGAGGATGTTAAAAAATTAAAAAAAATATAAAGTAGAAATAAAAAATAAAATCCCTTGCGGCTCGTTTTTATAGTCATTGATAAACGGTAACTGTGATATTATAATTATAATATGATAAATATAATATTAACCCCTTCCAAATTGTCCATTTTTGTGAGAAATCTGAGCGCGAATTAAGAAGAAATTATCGTACTCCTATAAAACGTGACTCTACGAGTGATATATCTCCTCTTCCCAAATTGTCCGTTTTTCTGTGCGCTATCCGAGCACGAATTAGGGGAAGATTACTGTGTAATGGATAGCTAGTTTATTTAATTCGTCCAGACGGCGTTAAAACTATCTCGGAACAATGTTTACAAAATAAATGTTATGCACGCGTGAAAGGAATGCGGAGATTGCCCGATGAATAGAATAACAATGACCGATAAGTTTTTAAGTGTTTGTTTTCTTTATCGGCTATCGACATTGACGATCGATCGATGCTTCTGCAGGTGAAAGACTACAATGTCCTCTTCATCGACAATCCGGTCGGCACAGGCTTCAGCTACGTCACGGATCCATCCGCCTACACAACGACGAACGAACAGATCGCCAGCGATCTCGTGGAATGTATGAGAGGTTTCCTCAAGGTGCTGCCGAAATTCGCGAATGTCTCCACCTACATCACGACCGAGTCTTATGGAGGGAAAATGGGCGTGGACTTTGCTCTTGCTTGGTACAAGGTAACGTCGTGATATTATCTTAATTTATATTATATGTATTATATATTATTATGTATTATATATATATATATATATATATATATATATATATATATATATATATATTGTATTATATTATTATATACAGCGTGTCCCAAAAATGTCTCGCAATCCGGAAATGGTGGATTCCTTCGGTTATTTGAAGTAACTTTTTCCTTAGCGAAAATGCAAACCGCGGCTTCGTTTACGAGTTATTAATGAAAAACGCCAACCAATAAGAAGCGAGCTCTGCTAACGCGAGGCGGCCGAGCCAACGAGCGCGCGAAGCCCAGCTCCGCTCATTGGCTCGGCCGTCTCGCGCCAGCAGATCTCGCCTCTCATTGGTCACTGATTTTCGTTGATAACTCGTAAACGAAGCCGCGGTTTGCATTTTCGCTAAGGAGAAAGTTGCTTCAAATGATCTCAGGAACCCTCCATTTCCGGATTACGAGACATTTTTGGGACACCTCCCAGGAGTTATTCAGAAAACACGGTCGAAAAGTGCCGAACAGCGTATAGCGCTTGTCTTAAATGATTGCGAAGAGAACCAAGCGGCGCGATAGGGCTCGTTAAGATTGACAAACAAAACAAAAAGCAAAAAAAGAAAAGAAAAGCAGCTATGCGATGTACGCGCGTCACTAGAGTTTGACGTGACACAAAATCTGAACAGCGCGTCGCGCTGCTTGGGACTCAAACGGTTAAATATCATATATATATATATATATATATATATATTATATTACATTATTACATATATATATTATATTATATTTTAATTTATCGTTATCCCATTGATCAAATAGAGAGTCGTGACAGTGCTGTTTCAAATAAACAGCAATAAAACAGAACAATAAAACAATTGCAACAGCTTTGCAATTGTTACGTGTTACTACGTTAACCCTTTCATGGGCACAATACGAATCTTCAACATGGCAGCACATTTCAACGGTTGGGAATATTTGAGCCTGATGTCCATATGCGTACTAAAAGCGGGTGGGAAGCTTAGTTCTCAGTGCCTATGAAAGGGTTAAGTGCCGAAAATCGACCACGAAAATATCGAATAAATCCAAATAATTCAATTATTTGAACGACATTCGAACACTTTTGCATTCGAAACATCCTGGTACGCGATTTACTTTAGTCAAATATATTACAATAAATATGAGTTTTGGAAATTACTCGACAGATATTGTTGACCGTAAATTAAAATCGTATCTCCGTTGAAAATACAGGCACAACAGGCGGGAACCATTAAGAGCAATTTGAAGGGTGTCTCCCTCATCGACTCCTGGATCGACCCCATCGGATCTGTGATGGAATGGGCGCCATTTTTGTATGCGACGGTAACGTGTTCCGAATGTTCTTAATCCTCTTGTCTCATCGAAAGCATCGTCGTTGTTAATCGTACAAAGTTTAAAGCATATCAATCGAACGAACGCACTGCTAAATCGCATCAAGTTATCGGAACACCTTTTTCGTTAAACGTGTCAGCGTCCATCTCTGTAAACAGGATCCTACGACATGTTTCTGACTCTGAATAGAAATGCACGCTTGAGGATTTACTTGCCACGTAGATTAGCCGTTTGGCTGCTGACGTATCTTCTCGGACATATGCCAAAACTGCGGCACTAATTGCGCATGTATGGGAAAAAATGTAAAACACTTTTCATACAATAAACTCACTTGTATCGCTTCGCAACGACAAAAATTAAAAAATACCACTTATTTACATAAATTTGTTTTAATTAGTTTAGTGAATAAAATTGGTAATAAGCACAAATTCTAATGATTTAGAGCAGCGTTATTACGCTCTCCGCAGTCTTGGCATTAAAAAAAAAAACAGGAACGCTATCGCGCTCTTCGCATTTTTGGCACAACATAAGAAGAGCGCGATAGCGCTCCTCAGCAGTCAAACGGTTAAGCAACGTGCTCTCGATGGAAACGAAAACAATTTCACAGGGGATGGTCGACACGGAGGGTTACAAAACGATCGACAAAGCGGCGCAAGCAACAAAGAAAGCCGTGAACGCCGAGCTCTGGTTCCAGGCAACCAGCCTCTGGAGTGCCGCCGAGCGTGTGATTCTGCAAACCACCAGTAACATCGACTTCTACAATATCTTGACGAAGAAACAGCCCGGCTTCATGAGAGATTCTTCCGCAGTGAGATATTCGTCGGAGCTTGCTCTTATGAGAGGTGATAAAATGCACTGCAAACAAAAAGAAAAAACAAGTACACGTATGTACTTCGAACCGTCGTTGCACGATGGTGTTCTATTGAAACATTTTAGGAGACTTGATAAGCACCTATGACTTCGATCTGAACTATTTGATGAACGGTCCAGTGAAGCGATCACTTAATTTGACGGTGGAGCACAGCACTCAGTCCGATACGGTGTTCTACAAGCTGCAAGAGGACTTCATGAAGCCTGTCGTCGATAAAGGTATTGTCGAGCACGATTAGAAACTCGACCTTTTCATTTGCTAGAAATAACGAACGACGAACGCTGGAATTTCTTCGCAGTGGAGCTTCTGCTGAACCAAACGAACCTGAAGGTGGACGTGATCACTGGACAGCTTGACCTAATCGTGGACACTCCAGGTTAAATTTGCGGAATTTCTATCTTTCTTGCGGGTCGGGCGTCAGCATTTTGAATCGATGTAACGTTTCAGGTACGGTCAACTGGGTCGAGAACATGAAATGGAAGTACTCCAACATATGGCTGAAGGCTCGTAGACAACCTTTGGTCGTGCAAGACGTGATCGAAGGATACGTGAAGTCATATGGAAACTTGGCCATGTACTGGGTCAATCGTGCCGGACACATGGTAACGATTATCTCTTTGTTTTTTACAAATTTTAACGAAGTAACGAACGCAAGCTATTGTTTATCCTCTCTGTCTTCCAGGTGCCCAAAGATAATCCAGCCGCAATGGCGCAGATCTTGAAGAGATTTGCTAATTAATATTTGTAATTACTCTTTTGATCTTTCAGAATGTGTTTTTTTTATCCTTAAACCATAATAAATTCAAGCAATTAGTTTTCTAAGAAGAAAATCATTGCCAGATTTCTTTAAAATTATCCTTCCTTTCGATGATTCATCTTCGCACGTAGCAAAACAGAAGACTATCAAATTTTATGGATTTATAGCACAAACAAGTCGGTGAAATTTAATACACTGGATAAGATATATATAATATAAATAAATAATATAAATATAATTATATATATAATATATAATATAAACAAATAATATAAATATAATTATATATATATAATATAAATAAAATATATATATATTATATTAGACTGGATAAGATGGACTAAGACCGTCTGTTCTTTCGCACAACGCACAATAAAATGATCAAAGAAAGAAAGGCATTTCCAGCATAATCCAGTTCGATGCAATCTAAGAAGAAACTTTTTATTTTCCATAAAGATCCGGAATTCACTGATCATCGCGCTACCACATTTATGCATTTATGGTAAAACTATATAATAACGCAAACATCGTTACACTGTATTACCGACTTCTTGAAACGATTAAAAGCGAGAGAATAAATATAATTAAAACCTTGACCGAATATATTTTTATTGTTCACGAAGATCCACGGTTCAGCGATCATTATATACTAGCTGTCCCGTAAACGACACAATATTTAATTACATTCCCAAAAAAGGGAACCTTCGACTCGGGGCCCGTTAACTTTGCGCGTCGTGTAGAACGCGCGGTCCTCGTTGTTTCCGCGAAACACGCCGTTTTACGAGGACCGTCGGTTTATTTTTCGCGATCTAGTCGATCCGCGAGGATCAATGGCGGCGGAACGATTCGACGGTGGTCTGCGGCCGCGCTGAATTTTCCCACACTCGTAAAACGGCGCAGAAGCAACAATCCGAAAAACCGTGGCCCGCAGACGGCCGCCGATTTTGTCAATAAGGAACGATTGTTTAGATTCGGCCGGATACGAGGCAGTAAAACCGAACGATCCGCAAACAAGACCGCCTGCGCCGACGAGGCATTTCGCTCGCGAAGAGCGAGAAGGCTTCTGCGGTTCCAACGGGCTCGTAAATAAAACTACTAGCGAGAAACTTTCTTCGACGTCGTAGAAAAAAAAAGGAAAGAAAAAAACGTGTCGCGCCGGTTTTCCAAGCGCGCGTTGTTTTCAATTCTTTTGCCGCTCGAACGATGCCGATCGAACTGTATATTCGCTATTTCCCATAATTGAATTGAATTCCATAATTGATCTCTCGAACGATTTAATGTGAACCATTCGCGCTCGAAGAAATTCCTCAAATCACCTGCCAGCGACGTAATTATTCGCGAAGTGCGAAGTAATTTTCTCAATAAAATGTAAAACGATATTAGGCTGGAAATAAAAAGCGAAAATCGTTCATTTCGATCAAACAAACAGGTCCGCGCTTTTCTTTGAGCTTCCAATGCGAACGAACGTTTATTGTAAAAATTCACTAGCCGATCCAATTTATTTCGAGATATTTCGAGTTTAATTCGGAGCAGAGCTGGTGTTCTCGCAAACGCTGGAACACCTCGATAGATTTACAATTCAACGGTCGGTAGACATTTCATATAATTCCGGTACGAAGCTCTGTAACCTAATCGTTGCAATAAAAATATTATGTTTCAAGTATCCGGTACACGAGCGGCAACGCTGCTGCCAGACGAGAGGGCCTGAGTTTTAAAAGAAAATTATTTTTACCATCTGCTCGACCTTCTGTGAATGTTTTTCTAAGTTGTGCCGGACGAAATGATTTAAGGAACGCGAAACAGGAGCGCAGGATCCACTCGTGGAAGACCCGTGTTTTCGGAGAACATTCCGAGGACGTTCCTAAGTGCCCCCGTCCAAACAGAGGCGGACGACGACTAATCCGCCGGTTCCTTCCGCCGCAGATCCACGCAGATGATTTGTTTCTTATTATTCCAAGATGACGCCCGGCCACGAATCGGCAGAGGCAGAAACGGCGCGCAAACAAATATCGGCTTCTTCCCTTAATCTTCCTCCTGTTCGCGCACATCAAAAGCTTCGAATGCCTGTCCGCGTTCAAAGGCTGAACGCGAATGAATTTTAAACGAGCCTGGCACGCACCGATCGCCGTTAATGCGCGATGCTCGATCTCTGCTCGATTCAAAGAAGCTTCGAAAAAAGGTCGAGAAAAACTCGATGGCAAATAAACCGAAACGCGGGATTTCCCGCGCGTCGTTCGCGTGCGAGCGCGCCAGTCGGAAAATCGTTCGCAACGGAACGAAAGCATTATCGACCATTGTGACAATATACAGAAGGTGTCTCAAAATTATGCCACTTCCGGGAAATGAGGGATTCCTGAGGTGATTCGAAGTAACTTTTTCCTTGGCGCAAATGCGATCTGCCGTTTCGTTCGCGAGTTATTAACGAAAAACAGTGACCAATTAAAGAGGCGAGATCAGCTGGCGCGAGGCGCTCATTGGCTCAGCCGCCTCGCGCCAGCCGCCAATGCTAGGCGAGCTCACCTCTCATTGGTCAGTATTTTTTGTTAATAACTCGTAAACGAAGCCGTGGATTGCATTTTCGCTGAGGAAAAAGTTACTTCAAATGTCCTCAGAAATCACCCCTTTCCGGGAGTTAACATAATTTTCGAACAGCCTGTATTATAATAAGGATCGTAGGAAGCTTAAATCCAATCTTGTCATTGTTATAAAATAATATACATTAATCTCGTTTAGGACTTGCTGGTTCGCGTGTTAAGAAGAGTGTAATACTAAGAACATAGATTATGAATACCAAGAATGTACATATTGAGAGCAATGTATTACCAAGGACATAGGCTATGAATACTCTGGTTCTGATTCAGCAATCGCGCGTCTTGTAGAAACAGAGCATTGCCGGCGCTGCTAATGACGTTCATTGACTGTCAGCTGCAAATTAGATCTGATCTAGGCACCGATTCTCGGCAGTTTCTGCTGTACATATATTGAATTGTATATAGAAGACCAATATTTTTGATTATTAGACGCTGCGGATTTTATGCATTTTTGAGAAAAATGACTAGACCAAAAACGCACAAAATTGTGAAGACATGGGATGAATTTGAGGATATTTTTATATTAAATACATNAAACGAAGCCGTGGATTGCATTTTCGCTGAGGAAAAAGTTGCTTCATATAACCTCGGGAATCCCTTATTTGTGCCGAAAATGCCATAATTTTGGGGCACACTCCAAAAAATAAAGGAAAAGAAACCAATTGAAACGAGCACAGTCCTTGAAATTCGTGTTGAAATTACTGTACACGTAACTTGCCTGTATGACAACGATAAAGATTATAATAATTAATGGAAGCTGTTTGCCCAACGTTGGACGCCATTGTTCACTTCATTGATACGATTCCTGCGATTGTACGCGACTGAACGCGAGAAAGAGGTCTAATTACCAGGACTCGACTTTTCGCGTCTCCGCCGAGAATCGGATCTCGCCTTTCTCCAGAATCCGGTGCTTCCGCAGGGTAGTTCGACGTTCCTCGAAAATCGGGGAAGGGTGGCGGCGTCCGCGGGGAAGGGCAGGTCGAAGAGGAAGACAAGAGCGGTTCCGAGAAGCGGTACGGTTTCGGTATAATTACCGCAGCTTTGTTTACGTATCGGTTCGTTTACTGCCGGCGTGGGTGTTAGGACAGCATATGTGTAAACAGCAATAAAACACGCACCACCGGCCCCGTATAGGTAACCGCCTCCCTCTAACACGCAAACGAGAGTTCTCCGGGAAACCGGGATGGGCGGAGCTGGACCGTCCTCCGGATCAGCCGTGTCAAATTAAACACCCTTCGTTAAAGAATTGCCCCTGCTAGCCGCAAATCGTGCTCGGAGATCAGTTCCCCGTGCTGCCGGCCGCGAACTAGCCCGGAGGAGGTTTCAGTCTCGCCGCCGGAAACGGTCGAAGCATCGTCGACGATGGGTGCAGCTTCTCTCCGAAAGGACTGATAGCTTTGTTCTGACGTTTCGACGAATCTGTCCCGCTGAACGGTTGCCTCGACGCTTGTCCGTTGTTTCACCGCGATGAGGTGATAGAGTTGCCTGAAACGAAGCGGACGCGTCAGCATCGACCCTTGTTCCTTGAAACTGTGTTCGACGAGAGTTCGCTGATCTGTCGGTTCTATCATGTATTAAATATACGGTGTGACACAGTGTGCTACGACCGTTGATTATCGCACCGTGCAGTGGGACATGGACGCGAAACGAACAGGTGTCATTGTCTCGATAGAACTCGAGGAACCATAAACTACTAATCGTTGCAGCAGCTCGAAACTGATACGCGTGTTCGAATAGAAGAGTTTCAGCCAGAACAGCGAGAAGGTACATAAATATTGAATCTACGATCACTTTGAAATGGAGCCAAGCAGTAGCTACCAAGATTACCCGTGCAACATCCCCAAGGCCTATGGTTGCGATCTGCGAAGAAATTACGAACCGTGGAATCCCGAGGAGATCTTCCCAACCATGTGCCCCCTGCCGAGTTACTATAGCCTGGTGCCGGACATGCTCAACGCGAGGACCCTGCCTTTCTCCTGGAACCTCCCTCTGATAAGATACAAGCCGCAACCGCGGTACGAGAAGCCGCCGTACTCTTACATCGCTCTGATCGCCATGGCCATTAATTCGTCGCCCAAGCAGAGGCTCACCCTGTCCGGGATTTACAGATTCATCATGGACAGATTCCCCTATTACAGAGAGAACCGGCAAGGCTGGCAGAACAGCATCAGGCACAACCTCAGCTTGAACGACTGCTTCGTGAAGATACCGAGGGACAAGGTCGTCGGGGAGGACACCGAGGAGGATCAGGCTGGGAAGGGTAGCTACTGGACCCTGGATCCGTCAGCCAGCGAAATGTTCGAACACGGGAACTACAGGAGGAGGAGGATGAGGAAACAGAGAGGATTCGCGCAGGACAAGCAGGAACAAGATCGTGCCAACGTTCCGGTAAATAAAGATGATTGCTCGGTGAACGACGCGTACCCGATAACTAGACAGCGGATTTCGATGCATTTGTCATAAAAATGACAATTGCGGTAAAAAAGACTGTGAAGAGATTGAAAGAATTTAAGGATATTGTTATACAAGTTTCAACTTGGTACGATTATTGAAAGAGGAAAGATATTTGCGTCTAACTTATGTTTCTTGCAATTAATTTGGATAATTTTTATTTTACGTAAAGATCCGCAGTGTGCCGATCGCAGAGAGCGTGTGCTCGTTTAAACAATGCGACAGCATCCGACTGTCTCGGATATTTAGAATCGTAGAAAATGATTAGAATGGTCGACTCAGGAAGTGCGGGAAGTAAAAATATTCGTTGAAGATAAAGCTGTAGGTACTTTCTAAACGAACAAAAATATGTGAGCATATTAAAGTGCTTGCGTTTAAGTTCCAGCCGTTAATCGCATTGAAATTCTTGACTTTCCTTGAAAAAGATAAGCTGAAAGTAATTATCGAATATTTATCTCTTTGAAAAGTAGTCTCTGATTTAGAAATATTATAGAAATAATATAGAAATATTCATTGATTCTATAAATTTCGATGGACGTAATCTAACTATAACTACGCTTTGGTGTTACAGATTTCGCCGGAACAACTTCCTAATTCGAAGAGGCGGGAGAAGAAGAGAGAATATAAAATAGTGAGTGCGAAGGATGACGAAGAAGAAGCACAGACCACGAAAGTGAAATACACAGATACCCAAGGACACTGCGTAAAATCAATGATGTTCACTATCGAGAATATCTTACGGAAATCTACGCACGAATCTGCCATTTAGCTACTCACGCCTGACGAATCGTGTTCTCAATTTTCGCTATTTTTAAAGTCACGAACATTTGTTGTTTCCTGTAAATTGTTTTCAAATGTAAACGAACTGAAACGAATTACTAGTGCGTCGTGAGAAAATTTCAACCATTTACAAAATATGTACTTAATTTATAAAACTTGCATTTGTTTTTTTACACATCGTACTGTAAAGAAGAATTCAAATGTGCCGAATAATTCGGCCTACGCCTCTATTTTCGCCTTTATTACTTTGACTAATATATGGTAATTGAGAAACTACGAACACATTTTCGGGGGTTCAGAAATGTTCAGGAAACTCGCTCGTATCTATATCATGCAAGGAGAGCTTATTTATTGTTAAAAATGAGGAGAACGGATGATTCTCGTCAGTATTCTTATAAGGTACAATGTTAAATTCAGCACGAATCGTCTGCTCCGTAAAATAAAAAATAGCGTCATTACACGTAGTAGGAAAACGCTGAAACTGGTAGATAAAGTTACCAACAGTTGAGAGTTTGGCTGAAGTCACATTTTGCCGCTAAACTCACTTCAACGAAGGTTCGGACATTTTGTCACATGAGGCGTTACTATCGCTGGTGTAATCTACTCTGTCGACTTCATTTGGCTAGCAGTTTGAACAATTTGCCATTTATCAATTGGCGCTGAAGAAGAGGCACTACTATTGCCTAAACACCAATTGGTTCGTTCCGAATTTTATATTGTGTCCAATTGTATCTTATTGTCCTCTATGTTTGCGGTAATAAGGAAACTTTTTTTAAATGATATAGATACAGGAGAGTCTCTTGAACATTTTCGTATCCTGAATATATTCCTTTCCCCACTAAGTTAATAAATTTCGTGCTATTTTCCGCAGACACATTTTTCCTTCCAACAAAAATCATTTGTAGATGCAATTGTCAACAAATATTGAAATTTCTTTTTATGTTATCAACAATGAACAGGTTTTGTAATGCAAAAAGTATCCAACATGTTCTGAACCAAGATAGTGCCGGATAATAAAAAATGCACTTCGATGAAAATAAAACAACTTTAAGACCCGTCGCAATCTAATTGTTCAACTTAGAGCTTCTCAATGACTTTCGAATATTTCGGCAATACATTTAAAAAATAAAATAATATAAATAAAATAAAAATCTTTCGATGT